TATTTTCAATTTCAGGGACCATCTTGATGGTATAGGTCAATTTCAGGAACCATTTGTGATATAAATCCTTTCAAAAATTACAATTGAGTCAAAATGAGTTAAAGTAATTCACTACATATTGCGCCTCAATATTTTAGCATCATTACTTAGTTCACTATGTCTATAAGAGGGAAAGGAAACTCTTATTCTATAACAGGGATCCTTCACCCTCATTTTAAAGGAGGGCAAACCCTAGCCCCTCTAGCAACAACAATATAACTCTCATTTCATATAGTGAAACTGGATCTACACCGGTATGGACGTAACCTCAACTTGAAGTGAACCAAGATATATTGTTGTGTTCTTGTATGTGTATGATTTACGATCAAATTTACGTTGTTTCAAAATCAACCGATTTGGTACATCGAATTAACAAATAAAGAGCTAGAATTAAGATGGCTATGAAGTTTTTTTTTTTTTTTTTTTTTCCAATAAATGATATTACCTACGTGAAGGGCTATGAGAGTGGGCTAAGTCTCATAATTGACTTGTAATAATGTGATTTAAAATTTTCTTTAGTGAGAATCAAACCTAGGACATTTCACTTATAAATGAAGAGAAATACTACTAGATCGTAGTACTAAATGTCAGATGGACATGCAGTTTGGTTAACTGAAAAAGTGTGCAATCAGTCTCCCAAATTTATGTTGGTGGACCATTTTCAAAGCTGGCAATTGTCCTTCAAGTTCTATATGTAGGTACTGCAAGTCTGTTCCCGAAGCTACATATGACGCGATAATAGTGGATGCATTTGATCCGATAAGTATATACAGGCTTCTCCTTGACTCTATTTGTAACATATTTTCTGGTTCGAATTTACAGTCTTTCAATTTAAGTCTAACAAGAAATTAAACATTATTATTATATACGACATGATCGATATAATTTGTTATTTGCATGCATGCATGCATACAGAGCCAGGTCATGACATCTACAAGACTCCATTCTTTGATTTGGTGGCAAAAGCTCTGCGATCTGGCGGAGTCATGTGTATTCAGGCAGAGAGCATATGATTTGGTTCCTTAGACATTGGGCAACTCATGGTAGAATGTCGCCAGATATTCAAGGGCTCTGTTCATTAAGCATGGACAATTGGTCCCGCATATCCAAGGCATGCATACATTATATACACACATATATGTCATTTTAGTTCCGGTCTCTAATCAACTTAATTGTTAAACTAAAACCTTGTTTGTTTAAATAGTTTGATCGAGGTCCTTAACATCATTTAAAAGATTTAACTCATGCATTTATGCATTTAATTTCCCACAAATTATGAAATTTAAACAAATTCAAATAATATATTTAAAATATAATAAATACTTAAAATTAAATATTAAAGTAATATTGTTCTTCACAAAATAATAGCAAATAATGTACTCACATAATTATTAACATATTTTATAAAATAACTGTTGATATAATTTAAAACATAAAATAAATACATATAATTAGCATGGGTACATTTAACAAAATTAAAAATAGGTAAAAATATATTAAAAAATATGGGCACAAATATAAATAAAATTTAAAAAAAAATATGGGTACAAAAAGAAATTAATACATGAATACAAGTTAAAACTGAAAAGAAAATTAGTACAAATTAAAAAAGGGCTGCAAAGTGAAATTGGGTACAAAGTAAAAAATAAAAATATATGATGAAAAATTTAACCATAAATATAAATACATCAAATGTAACATTTCTAAAACGAAATGAATATATTTAGAAATAAAAAAAATATTTTATTATTGAAATAATTAATGACGTTTATTAAAACCTAAGGATCTTGATTAAAAATTAAAAATAAATAAGGTTTTAATCAATATAAATAAGGTTTTAATCAATGGAATATCAAAAATGGTTTAGTGTTTAATTTCCTATTTGCAGCAGTCAAATTTAAAAAAAAATCAAAATAAGTCAAATTTTTAAAAAATTTCCAGAAGTAGCTTTGAGTTTTTAATTTCCTATTTGCATCAGTTATAGCAAAAAAGTTTTCAATTTTAACAATTGAATTCAAAAAATGAAAACTGAGAACGCAATAGTTATCAAACGGTTTCTAAAGCATCTCTAATGAAAGATGCAAAATACTTTGAAATGAGCATTTCATTTTTTGTTGCCCGGAAAGATCTCCAACGAGAGAGATGTAAAATACCTATCGGCTAAAAGATGTAAATAAAAATATAAATGTACGTTTTTTTATACATCTTTTAGATGCGGACCTCGTCAATTAAAGAGAGAAAAATAAGTATCACATTACTATCTAGTTGTACACTTGTAATTTCTAACTACTCTGTCAGTCGATAATTAATTTCAGTGGGGTGATTGGCTTCTTGCTTTGCTTAACGGAGGGGCCACTGGTGGATTTCGAAAAGAATAATGTTATTCATATCATGTTTTTGTATCATATTTTTATAGTATTTTAGATAGTATTTGATATAGACAGCCACATCATTTGAACTAATCAAATTTTTAAATTTAGTTCATTATTTAATAAACTAATAATTAAAAAAAAACTAGTTAATTAAATAATGATTGTGGTATAGGATGAGTTTTTCTCCATCCTTTCCTTGGGTTTTGCAATTTTTTCAAATGATGTAACTATCCACGACAGATGCCACCTAAAGTGGTATAGAAATATGGTATAAAAATAGAGTAATGCTATTCATACCATTCTTTTGTACCATATTTTCATACCACCTTAGGTAGCATTTGATGTGGACAACCACATCATTTGAATTAATCAGATTTTTAAACTTAGTTCATTATTTAATAAACTAATAATTAATAAAAACTAGTTAATTAAATGATGATTGTAGTATACGATGAGTCTTTCTTATTCATTTCCTTAGGTTTTGCAAAATTTTCAAATGATGTGGTTGTCCACATCAAATACAACCTAAATGGTATGAAAATATAATATAAAAATATAGTATGAATATCATTACTCATAAAAATATGATATTCCTCTTTCGGAAATCCTGTCAACCCAATAGAGACCCCAACAATAGTTTTGTGGTTGCAGAGCCCTTGAAATTTACAACACAGAGGTACCCCAATCAAATTCTAATTAATTAAATGGAATTTAACCTCTACATCCTCTCTTTTTTCTCTCAATTTCTGCCGACACCAATTGGTCAGGTACTCATGTCTGCATTTTGTTTGCCATCTTTTGCAAAGAAGGTGATTAATGGGAACGGATCCCTTTTGAGGGCGGAGTCTCCTGAGCAAATCACATGGATCGTTAGATTTGATCTAACGGTTACAATTATTATAAATTTTAGAAGAATCTCCTTCTTATAATCGTTTCATCAAAATCTAATTATCCGAGTGATTTGCTCAAGAGGCGCCACCCCCTAAGCTCAGAAGGGGATTCGTGATTAATGGGTCCAAAGTCAATGGAGTTGGTACACTCAGCAGCTGACACAACACAAGTGAACATTCAATAAGAAGACGGTGGACAATATAGATCGTTATTAGAATATTTTTTGCCATATATAAATACCACTACCACCCCAGCAAAATCTATCCAAACACGCCAAACCAAACATCACGATTATGTGTATTAATTTTATATAAATGCAAACTATATATATGGTTGTGTTCCATAATTTTCTCATTGAAATTTCTTGTCGATAACATGCAATTGCTTTGCTTTAAATTTGAAAATGACAACTTACCCAATATTGTTTCAGATATACGTACATCGTTGAAAATTTGACCAAGAAAAATATATACATCGTGGAAAATTTTCTTAAATCTGCTATTATTATAGATAGAAATTAAAATTGTGTCTATCCAATTTTGGACTAATTAAGTCTTGTATTACTTGCCTTTTTAAAATAAGCCATGTATAAGCTTTGAAAGGCTGTTTGATATTTATAATAGTTACAATTGTGCTTCGTTAGAATCTCATAAAAAACATGATCTTTGTACGTATCAAAATTCCATCAAAAGATTTTTTATGTCTGATAGTTAAGAGTTTTTTGCACTGTCCATGGGATTGGGAGTTATTCCAACATTCGCCATTAGAATGAAGAGTGTGAATAAGCTAGTTAAAGAACATCCTTTGTATCCAAAAGAAGTCTTCCCGTTTATTTGGTTATTCTTCTCCAATTTCTGAGGGAGAAAGGGTGGGAGAAAGGAGGACCCTTGGCGGTTAAAGTGACGGAAGTTTATGTTTTGCTTATACCAGTTTCATGCAGTGCTACGTGAAGCGGCCCCAAATAAATGAGAGATTTTTCAGTGTGATCGGAACACAGAATAGCACATCACGTATCGCTATACAAATAATATATGTGTGTTTAAAAGTTAATAACTTAAAAAGTAAAATTTCTCACCCCAATATAAAAATAAGTGGTGTATCATTCGTGTTCCAGTCATAATAAAAATTTTCTCCAAATAAACAAAAAAACCAACACCCTCATCACACTAAAGATTAGGTTAGATGAAAATAAGTGACAACTAATGACTGATATAACTGCAATGACACATGACATTATTCTGGTGCAATAGTTTGTTAATAGGGGTGTGATATCCACACCCCTTGTTAACAAGGGTGTGTGAGAAATAATTTGGGGTGTGTGGATAGCACACCCCTTGTTAATATAGTTGTGGCTGTTAGAAGGGTATTGTAGTAATTGTGACATGTAAGGTTGGCTGTATAAGGAATTGACAACCTTCAGTAGAGCAGAAGGTTGTAATATATTCAATTGAAATAAAAATAGTTACTCTCTCTTCTTCTCTGATTTCTTCGCTTTCAAGCTTTATCTTCATCTGTCAATAACAACGTGATGCATATTTAACGCATGTCAATTAAGTTGCAATCATACACACAACTTGGCTAGGACCATGCATTTGTCAATCTGCAGGTGCCTGTTTATTGCCCCAGGAAATACTGTAGCGTACAACAAGGGACCTGGCTAGCTAATAGCCACAAAGAGGCATGCATGTGTCTGTGTGAGTGTGTGTGTGTCTGTCTGTGTCTGTGTGTGTATGTCTGTGTGTATATATAAACACAGAGCCATACTAGGATCATATGTAGCTGGAAACCGATAATAATGGCTGAGAAGAACGGTAGTGTTACTGTTTTTGCAGGTTTTGTTGACGAAAACCTTGTGGAGGATGTTGAAATAATGAGTGTAGCTGCAAATGGTCATCAAAATGGTAATGCTGAGATGGGATTGGTCTTTGATAATAATGGAAAGGAGGAGGCAGAGGCCATACCTAGTAGTGTTGCATTTACTAAGGCAGGATGGTATGCTGATGTTTCCACAGATGGACCTGGTAATTAAGCATTGATCAATCTCCGTTCGAGTTAAATAGTGCTATCCATACATTCATTTTTACTTCTTACACATCCCTTTAAATTTCAGCCGTCGGATCAAATAAATTGAAGATCAATGGCTAAAGATTAATAAGAATGTGTGAAAAGTAAAAATGATGTGAATAACACTTTTCTAAATATATATGTTTGCATGCGACATTATATGCCAACTAATTGTGATTTGATTTTGGTCATTTTGGTCTACATTATACGGTGCAGGGAAGGCACATTTATATAAGATGGAGAAAACCTTATTTCATGGGAAGTCAGAGTTTCAAGATCTTTTTGTTTTTCAGGTAATTATTTTGTTTTCACTTTTCAAATTTTATTTCACTTTTTTAAAATGTAAAAATGAAAACTCATTTAGTTTCAATTTTAAAAAAGCGGAAAACCAAAAATTAAAAACTGAAAACCAAAAAATGAAAACTACTTTTTTTGAGTTTTTAAATTTTAGCTTTCAATTTTTAGTTTTTATCTTTTTGGAAAATGAAAGTAATTATCAATTTTAAAAAAATTAAAAACCCGTTTGGTAACTATTTTTAATTAAAAAAAATGAAAATTACTTTCTTTAAATTTTCAAAATTTGTCATTGAGTTTTCATTTCTTTTGAAAACTAAAAGTAGATACCAAACAGATTTTCAATTTAAAAAATAAAATAAAAACCCGTTTGGTAACTATTTTCAATTTTCAAAAAATCAAAATGTGAAAACTACTTTCTTGAGTTTTCAAATTTTGCTTTTAGTTTTCACTCTTTGCTTTTCAATTTGAAAACTAAAAGTAGTTACCAAACGAATTTTCACTTTTTTGTTTACAAAAAATGAAAACTGAGAACTGTAAACGAAATGGTTATCAAATGGCATGTTAACTAAAGAAATTTTTAGTTGTACATATGTATTATTAATTTATGTGTTATAATATCGTGTTAATATCTCACATGGTCTGATTTAGTTTCAACAAATGGATACACATTATTATAAACTACAACATGAGTAAATTAATAATATCACCTCCCTCATGTACAATTGTGTATTTTCTGTTGTTTCATTAATTTGGTTACAGTCATCAGAGCATGGCAAGGTAGCCATCTTGGATGGTTTTCTTCAACTCACAGAGAGGGATGAATTTGCTTACCAGGAAATGCTCTCTCACCTCCCACTTTGCTCTATCCCAAACCCAAGGAAGGTTAACTCATCTCTTCATCTAGTACTCTCCCTCTCATAGTCACCCATCATCCTGCAAAACAAGCATTACTAAAACTAACCTGTTTGATCATTTTTTATCCAATACTGTTTTGGTTAATTTTTCCTCAGGTCTTGCTTGTTGGAGGCGGAGATGGAGGCATTTTGAGGGAAATATCGCGTCACTCTTCTGTTGAAGAAATCGATATATGCGAAATTGACACAATGGTGATAGATGTGAGCAAGCTTTCTTTAAACTTCTCACATACATGTACACATCCCTCCTTGGATAAATTTTCTTGGTATTTCAGGTTTATAAGCGCTTTTTTCCGGACATAGCTGTGGGATATAAGGATCCCAGAGTGCAAGTACACATAGATGATGGTATGGTATAACTTAAGAAGAAGTGAAACTTGCTTTCAATAAGGATGTCATTGTGGCTATATCCCAATCTAATATCGCATTTTTACTTTTCCACATTGCATTATAATTTGATTTGGTTACTGTAATAGTGATATTCCGTTGCATAAAAGTCCTCCTTTGCAAGACATTGCTTTTGGCCTACTGATAAGTCTCTTTTACTTCATTTATTTGTGCCTTAACTATTTTTTGACAAACATGTAGGAGTTGCATTCATGAAGTCAGTTCCTCAAGGCACCTATGATGCAATTATAATTGATGCATTCCAGGGCATGGGTATTTTTTTTTTTCTCATATTAAACGTACATCACGTTCTAAACATCCAACTTCCAGATCCTCACAGCAATATACGTACTGAAATCCCTTACAGGTGCTACAGCAAAAGAACTTTCTGATAAGGACTTCCTGGAATCAGTTGCAAGGGCTCTTCGCCCCGGCGGTGTGCTGTCTACCCCGGCGGACAGCTTCTGGAGTGAAGACTTTGTTAACTTTGCCGATACCGTAGCAAACTGCCGCAAAATATTCAAGGGCTCCGTCAACTATGCCTGGACAACAGTTCCTGCATATACAAGGCAAGAGGTCCCTTTGCATTTTATTAACTCTCTTATTAATATTATTAGAAAACTTCATTTTTAATCCTTGGCAAAGATAATTTTTAGATTAAAATCATGAGTAAGATCAAAATCTAATTTTAGTCCATTGAGACATTAATAACCTCATTTATTAATTATATTTTAATTTTTTTAATTATTTCTCTTTGTCTTCCTAATTTTTAATGTATTGATTTTATTTCATTAAAATTTTTATTTTTATTTCATTTATTGTAATATATTTTGTTGTAAACATTTAGATAAATAAATTTTTGTTATACAATATATTTAGGTACATTAATTCAATATAATACTTTGTCTTCTTCATTTAGGTACATTAAATTCATTATAATACATTTCAGTGCACACATTTAGGTACACACATTTTGGTACATACATTTCGATACAAATATTTAGGTACATTAATTCAATATAACACATTTCGGTACTAACAGACAATTCGGTACACACATTTAGGTACATTAATTTAATATAATACATTTCGGTGTATATATTTCAATACATACATTTTGGTACTAATATTTTGGTACTAACATTTAGGTACATTAATTGAGTCTTTTAAGTTTGAAGAATGTTAAATAAAAAATTAAAATTTGTATATTAATAAATTTAAATATTTAATGGAAGACATTAAATAAAATACACATTAATTATTTTGAATTAAGAACACATCAGTGGATTATAATCAATATGTAATCTAACATCAGATTTATTTTAAATTTTAACCTTCTTAAAGGACTAAAGCTAAAAAAACCCTATTATTATATTTGGTATTTGCTAATGCACTACTAATTAGGCTTGTGAATCTCTGCTCTTAGTGGGATCATTGGGTTCATGCTTTGCTCGAAGGAAGGACCAACCGTGGACTTTAAACACCCTATAAATCCATTAAATCAAGAGAACTATGGCGTGGCAAAGGGACCTCCCAAGTTCTACAACTCAGAGGCACTAATTAACTTCTTCTTCTCAGAACTATTAATTTGAGCCTATTCTCTCTGTTTGGATGCTTATATATATGGGTTCCGAATGGATTCACTTTCCTCTGTTTTCCATCTTGCAGATCCACACTGCTGCGTTTCGATTGCCATCTTTCGCAGAAAAGGCTATCGGTTTCCAGATGTGATGAACATATTTATGAAGTTCTTCGTTGCTATGTTTTTTGTACAAATTTTTTTTTTAGTAACTAAAGGGAGGTTGAGACTTTAAAACTATTAATAATTTAGAGAAGGGGAAAGTTTCGAACCCAAAATGTATGGGTAGAAATCCAACACCTTATCTATTAAGATATTAAACCGTATGTTATGTCAAGGGCATATAAGTTCGTTGCTATGTTGTAAACGAACTGTATTCTAAATTGGCTCCAATTGGGACATGATCTCAAAAGGACAACGTGATGAACTGTTGAAATGGAGTTTCAATTTCTTTCAGTGTCATCTTTACTTCTATTTGAGAAATTGGTTGAAGTGAAGATTTTTAGAAAGTGTTGTTTTATTGAAACTACACATTTTGTTGACTACATTTTACATATAAACTAAATTTTAAATAACTTATATTCCCTAATATGAAATAATTTAGACCCTAAAACGTAAAATTCTAAATACATTCCAAGTCATTTTTAATTTTGGATCATATGCATCCAAAGAATTTTATTTCTTCAAGTTCTCAAACCACTCCCACCTAGAGATGGTAATTAAACCCGATAACCGTCCGAGGAGGATGGATTTGAGGATGAAATTTTGGGTATTTTCGGATATAAGAAAAAATCGTGAATATTATTTGTTTACGATTTAGGATATGGTTATAGGGTTCTCAATCCGTATCCATCCCAAAGTCCACCTCGAATTTTATATATAATATAAAATATATGATTTTTCTGTACATTCACAAGTATTGAAATTATTTGATAAATTGCTTCGTTTGTAGTGGCTGTTGTATTTGCTTTTGTCATCCCTTTCTTTTTTTCACCAATTTGCCTTATTTGCTATCATATTTGGCTTATCATGAACACCTCAAGAAAATATTTGTTTAATTATGTCTTTGATGATTTGGGTGTGGATATTTAATGACAAAATTAGTATCAAATTATAATGTGCCAGTTGAACGAATAAATTTTTCACATTGACGAAAATAGATATAACCGTTTAACAATGAGAAATCTATTACTCGGTGGGCATGATTATAATCTCTGATGGTTAACTTGCAAATATGAACATGGTTCATTTTCATAATTTATGGGAATGAATATGACATTTTCGTTCCCAATCCGAACCATTGCCATCCTTATTTCCACCTTCCTTTGTTAAACAAAACCCTAGCCATTTAAAGCACAAACACACCAATGAAAAAACAAAAAACAAAAAAAAAAACTTATTTTGACAAATTAAACATAAAATCGTCTATTTGGAGGCTACACGTAATGGTTGGGAAACCCTAAACCCCAATTCAGATTATAGGTATGTTCCTAGTTCTCAATCGATTAGGTATATTTCGGAGGATACCTACCAAAATATCGAATCATTTCATTAGTTATGTAATTTTCATTGTGACTGGAACACACATATCCCATCATTTGTATAGTGATGCGTGGTGTACCATCAGGGCTCCGGTCACACTGAAAAACCTTTTTAAGTTTGAGCTTGGTAGAGAAATGCAGAGAGCGTGAGGTGCGAGGATCGTTTGGTTAAGATGACTGTATTAAGATACTTTCCTCTGTTTTAGCTCTTGCAGATGCACACCGCTACGTTGTCTGTCGCGAGGAAGGATTTCGGTTCCAAGATGTCATGAAAACAAACTGTAGTTTCAACAGGTTCTGCTTTGGACATGATCTCAACAGGATCTTTACTACTATTTTAACCAAATATTCAAAAACTGAATCCTCATTTCTTCAACAAACATTCTCAATGCAAAAACCTTACAACCAAGGAAGCATATAGCAGAATTCAAACTTCATTACGGGGCTTACAAGGTACAAATAGGAGTCCGTAACCTCTTCAAAACCGTATAGGTGTAGAAAATACCTAAAACCGAAGGTACGTGTTACACAACAAAACCAACCGCCGTGGAAAGACCTGAGAATTTTTCTTCCAAACATAATTTAAGCTCTCGTCGTGACTATATTCGACAACAAAAGTGGGATTTTCTATTTGTAAATGTAACTGGTGTTTATGGTGGGATTTGCTCTGCTTCAAGATCTCTTGGGTGCATGGACAAAATGCACAGAAGATGAGGGAGAAAGAAATATTTCGCTAGAAACACGAGAACCCCATAATCAGCCTCTTCGCCAACTGCTGGCCGGCGTGGATTTACCCAGAATATTTGGCTTGCACACCATAAGCTGTACAGGAGTGCTACGATAGCAATTAGAATCGCTGATTGTATCGATTGTTTGGTAATATACCTGTGAGGCCTAACTCTGCAAGCCAAAGCAATTGATCAACATATACGTAAAGGACCTGTGGTGAGCTAGGGAAAGAGGAACCAAATGTATGTGGAGTGCCTCAAATAAATACCTGTTGATGTATACAAATCCGCCAATTAAGATGATGCATAAAATGCCAACTACAACAACAGCATCTGGATTAACCGGTGCTCGACCCTCCCACCAACCAGTGCTCAAAATCCATGTATACTCTGATGAATGCCCATTCTCCTGTACATTTGAAAGGACGTACAAGATGTAAAAATCTAAACAGACAAAAAAAGGAAGTAGAAAACATGAATTTATGCTCCATGACTGAATTACATGTGGATCGATGAGCCTCAAAGTTCTTGCACATAGGCGCTATTAAACTTTAGACTCCGTTGATACATATTCGATGTCAAATTATGACTCTAAACATCCACTACTACCGAAATTAAGAATCATATTACGACCTTTTCTCCTATGGCTACATCAACCCCTAATGAAAAGAAAACAAACCAAAATTAAAATGTTAACCCTCCAAAACACAAGTCATTGGTTCTTCTTCATAGAACAAACAATCGATAAAGAATTGAATTAGGATCTTCGAGCAGAAGAGCTGATCGACGTCTCAATATTACCTCGAACAAGTGATCGAGGAAGAAGTGTGAAAAAGAACCAGCTGACACCAGCAAGAAGCATTGCTTCTTAGTAAGGGGCACCTGTAACATAAAAACACAAGAAATGACAGACATATTCACTACTTGTGTTAATGATGAATGATCAAAACAAAGATTCTGGTTCTGCAATTTTCCAACAAAATCTTACAATTAAGAGCAACCTTAAAAGCAACATTAAACAACCAAAACAAATCTCACTTAATAAATACAACCTCATTCCCCTTTCCCAGTATCGAGCATATGATTCATATGAGGCTAATGTTCATTAATCTGATCAAGTAAATCACACAGTTCAGATCATATGCAGAAATCCTACTTTGATTTTCTCCTAAGATCTGCACAGCCAAAAATAGAAACCCCAAATCTTAAAACTGACAACTAAAGTTCGAAAATAGAAACCCAAAAGATCCAAGATTCAAACTTTGTTTCCATTTTCTCACAGTTCCCCAGCTCCCACAACCAAAAATAGAAACCCCAAATCTGAAAAACGACAACTCACCCCAGAAAACGAATCAAGAACCCGCCTTCGAAGAAAAACTCCAGAAACCCAGGAGTACAGAAAACAGAGAGGAAGACCCAGGAGGAGGAAATAGAAGATGGGATCGTGGACCAAGTCGGCGAGCTCGGAGCCGAACCCGAAGCCGAAGACGGAGTCGAGCCACTCGGAGAAGGAGCCGATGTCGGGGCCGAAGAAGGCGTTGACCGTGTAGAAGAGGGTGTGGTGGGGGCTGAACCTGCCGCCGCTGAGGGTGGTCAGAGCCAGGCCCGAACCCATGGCGTACATGAGGTGCGGACCAGGGCCCGGCATGGCTGCACCTGCTCCCACCTGGGTTTTGGCCCGGGGGGTGTGGGGTGGTCAGATTTAAGAGCTTGAGTTTTTGTTGTTTGTTACAAATCAGGATCTGCCATTGTTTGATGTCAGCTGGAAAGCTTGATGGGCAATTACAGTTTGAGTGTCGAGTTTCATTAAATTCAAGCGCTGATTAAGGAATGAGCGACAGTTAATCTCGTTAGGATTATGTTGGAATATGTGCTTTTGGGCTTTTGTCATGTAGTATTGTTATCCTGGGCTTTTGGCCATCTTTTGATTATTTGGTTTAGATTGTACTACTGCGCTATAGAAATTTTATAAACGAAACTAGTCAATTTCTTAATATTAATTTGAAGATTACTTTTATAAAAAAAAATTTATAACCGGATATCGTTTAATTATCTAAATGTATCAGATAAATAGAAAGTTCATCATAACAAGCGTATGAGTGCTCTTGAATTAATCTGGAACAAATTAAACGTGGAATGAATTCTTGGTGCGTGCTTATCAACCTAACGACATGAATTCAAAGGTCATGTGGTCTGAACATTCTTGGATATGTTTTGAATAATTTCACACGTCTTCTTCTATATCGGGTAGGGTCTAAGAACAAGGCCTAAGGGACGGGGCCTATCCAGATCATGGGCCGGCTTAGGCCCTTCCTATTTCAAATGGCGCTGGATAAGCCCGGTCCTAAGACTTGGCTGGGCCAGCCACAACTCGAAAAATAAGATTGGGCTCAGACCGGCCCATCGGGCCTCGTCCCTTTTTACAGGCCTAGAAGTTACTAGGCATTTGAGGTAATCTTTCGGAAATGCCCTTGAAGTTGGGTTTCTAAGCAGGTCAGAATCTGTGGGCTCATTTAGCCCAATTCATTGACTATATCCAGATCTAGCCCAATACCTAAGCCGAAAAAGGTCCAACCAATTATCTCCAGAATGTTGGTCTCCACTCTCTTAATCTTTAACAATACTTAATACTTAACATGTTTAAAATATCGATATGGTTGTCACTTCACACTACGGTCTAATGATATTCATCTTCACTTATAAATTAGATGTCTTAGATTCGATTTTTTGCCAAAAAAGAACTTGAATCACATTATTGCTAACTCATTATGAAGTTAAGTCGACTCCCTCCTCATTAATGTAGATAATATCAAGAAATATAATGATATCAACAGTTAGACGATAATTATGTTGAATACATGTAAACAGGTCTAAAATTAAAAGTCAATCTAATAATTCAACCCATTAGATTTGTTAACTTTTGTTAAAAAAACAAAAAAAAAAAAAAAAATCAACGGATAAGTTCTAAGACGCAATATCTTCTTCTTTGATCTTGTTTGATTTTTCCAATTTTCTCACCAACTCGCTTATACTTGGTGGGAATAATCCCCGACTTCCAATGACGTCATCACCTTCTCATTTAGCCAGAGTTGGGCGACGTCAGCTGGAAGGAAAGAACGGATAAGAACCGGATGGTACCATCGGACACGGGTAATTGGTGGGACCCGCCGGCTTGTCAACTTTTTGGTCTTTTTAACGGATAAGGACTCTCTCTCTCTCTCTCTCTCTAGTCTTTCTCTCTCCAGTCTGTATGTGCATGCAATTGCAAATTTGGAATGGGCGACTCTTCTCCCCACGCATTCGCCTCCTCCGCCTGCGACACGGCACGAGACTACTATACGTGGCTGGCCCACCACGGACCATCGGATAACGTCGGCCCCACCTTTTCCCTGTCTCAAATGCAACAATATTATTTTATTTTTCTATTTTTATATTTTCGCCTTTTCCCTTTTTTTATTTTCCGTGGGAAATAGGATATTTGTTTACAGAAAGTAAAGGTGAGTTGTTATTTTAATTCATGTAATTCCCTTCCTAATCCGAATATTCCGATTGTCAACCATGGTGATGGCCACGTGGAGGGGTCGGATATACTCCCCAAATTTATAATTCTCTCTTTATATAATTCTGATACGACATGTGGCAACAATGTTTTTTTATCACATCAAAATAAAGTGATGGATTCAAAAAGTCAAGGAAATTAATAAAGCAAGTATTTGCTATGTTTTTAAGAAAAAACTGCTTACGTGTTGTTGTGAGAATAAACAATTGTTTTAACAAAAAATAACGATTGAGTGTTTTGGTAAATTTTTACGTTAAGTTCCTGTTAATAAGTTAAATGACTAAAAAATAATATAGTATTTAATGTGATATAATAATCATAAAAGAGAATAATACAGAAGTAAAGATTAAAATTTTGTGAAACATGCAAGGATATACTTGTCATTTGAAAATCTCATTAAATGTGCATTGTTCATTGTGCTTTGAAAAGAACACTTTTTAAAAAGCATATAGAGTCATAGACTCTACTTCTGCTTTTTTACTTTTATTAACAACATTTTAAAATAAACGCTTCTTTGTTTTATTAAACATATTTGATTTGAAATTTTTTTTGATAAACTATTTTTTTTTATAAAGCACCACAACTCAAAACCAATTGTAAATCTAATGCGAGCACGTTATCTTGCCGCACTTTACAAATGTGAATGACCTTACAACTACCTAACGGGGAGCCCACCACATCCAGCTGGCATTGTACAAATATTCACAACCATATATCCACACGATTCAATTCCAAAAATGTTGCACATACGAAGATTTGTAAGAGGTGGTGGGGGCCTCCCCCCACATGCCAGAAGAAAAATAAAATCTTAGTACCATCATAACGTGGGCCCCGACGGCGGACCGACCAACCACGAGGAAACAAGTGTGATCACGTGGATAAATGTCCATTGTCAAAGGGAAGCCAGAGGGAATTGGTCACCGTTTGTGAAAAGCGCTTACGAGGATTGGAACAAGTCGGCATGCGGGACTGGATTGGAAGAAAAGAAAATGTTGCCGTACTGGAAAAGAACAAGGGTTGGGAAATGGGATGGGTATGGGTCCAATCCAATCGGGTTAGGGAATTAGGGATGGGATGGGATAATATAGGATGAGGTTAAAACGGTCACACTGGCTTTTAGCTTCGTCATAGGCTGTGACGGGGAAGAGAGAGAGATCCATGTCTCCTAGATTTTATCGGCTTTCAAGTTCGTGACACACTTGCTCATCATTACATCTATATGCCAAGTTGCCTTCTGTTTAACGTTAGGTGCTTATGATTAGATTGAATTAGATAACGTTAGATAACGTGTAAATACAACCTATTATGATAAGATTTAAAATTATTACGGAATAAGTAGTGATTAAGGACGAATTTAAGAAGCGTATTTCACACAACATATCTGAAGTTTGATTCTTGACCCTGGTAAATCACACGATGGTGGCTAAAGAGAGGCTTAAATATGCTTCTGTGAGTCATTCCGGCCCCAAGAATGATGGATTGCAGTGGTAAAGACACCAACTGGTATCCCTTTAAAAGAATTTATAAGTTTTAGTAGTGAGTAATTCATTTTTTACATCCAACATAGACGAAGTTTTTTCTTTTCTTCTTTCAAACATACGAAATATAATGAGTTATTCAATCCAATCTTATATACCGTGAATTTTGATGCAGACTTTTGTGTATCTAAGTTGGTTATGCTTTCTGGTCGTCAATTTCACTCAAGTTCGAATCTTCACTTTAGTGGCTTCTATTAAATTCAAATGTTGCTTGAATCAAAATGGAAAAACATAAAGTTTCATCGTAAACAGAGTTGATTATCATGTTTGATCTGAGATTAAACTTACCAACGAATAAGCAATCACGCAAGAAAATACTAAAAAATAGCGTTTATCATGCCGTTGAGTTCTTGTATTCACTTGAGGAGGCCAAACCTACTTAGACTTCGTCTACCACCAAATTGGAAACATATGCAGACGATGTTCAATTAATCTGATGTTCAATTAATCTAAAGTCAAGTTTGCCTCCTTTGGTCCCTTGTTAAGCTAGACAAATAATTGACTAATTAAGGTTAGTTTGCTTTTGCCTCTATAGTCTTCGTCAATTAGGTATCGGTTTATTGCAATTGTTTGAAATTTATGCCAACTTGTCGTCATGCGGCCAAAAATCAATTTCATAAGATATTGGAGTTCAAATGAAACTATGAAATATCACATTCACGAGATTTCTCAATGCGTTGAGAATACGGCTTAGTATATCAAGTGTAATAATACACTTTGTTGGAATTTAAAAAATTTCCAACCAATTATGCTATGACACTTATTGTACTTGATCATGTTCATGGCACCTTGATTTTTTTTTTTCCACATTTACCGTTGAAAAGTTGGTGAAATAGTCGTATGTTTTGTAACTATTTCATTTTTCTCTAGAAGTAGATTTTTCAATTTTAGAAAAGGGACATATTATATGTATTTTCTAATAATTCTAGAGACACCAACTCATGTCTTTTTTAAATGTCAACTAATGTAAATAGTTAAGGTTGATAGTCCTCATTTCATTTTAATGAATATCGTACATTTTCCTCAAAAATTCTGCCAATTTAGCTAATTATTGTCATTTTGTGTGACTTTATTGCAGTTTCATGCATCAATTCGATTGATATTTTTTAATACAATATAATAAGACTAGCCACAAAATCAAACTAAGTCACAAATTTGTCAATAATAATTAATTGTCAAACCCATTAGTCGAATAAGAAAAATCATTCACTTACAAGTGAGAGTTATACCGCTAAACAGACGATAATGTTAGTGAGCTAATTGACAAAAAATATTATTCAACTTCAAATGCAACCTTTATTAACTGCATGACTCAAAGTTGAAAAATTCAAATCATAAATATGAAACTGAAAAATGATTTAAACTACAAAGGAACAACCTTTTAATTTTAGGAGGTTTAACAAAACACTTTCGATACTGTTCATTTTTAATGAAAAATCATATTTATACATTTTTCTAGTACTATTCACTATATCTTTAAAAATAACTTTTCATTAAATGAGAAATTTTTTAAAATTTTTCGTTAGTTTTTCTTTTAATTTTAGCAAGAGCTTTTTTGGTGGTGTCACGAGTTTTGATTATAGAAATCGCTTCCGTTGACAAACAAATCGTTCGCATAAAGATTCAACAAATGACGCACCGACCTGCTCGCGCGTGAAGATTTCTCACGGCTTTCACTTAGGCGGTAAGTGAAAAGGGTAAAAACATAACGGACCGAAATGTGAAAAAG